TTACTTTATAAGTGACTCTCTTGGGAACTCTGCTCCCTTGCTCTGTGAGATGTTCTCTTAGTGTTTTTTTTTTTTTTTTACCTTGCTCTGTGAGATGTTCTCTTAGTGTTTATTTTTTTTTTAATATTCAATTCACCTTCACTCATATTATCTAAATATGTTATTCTAGCACAGTTGTTTTCCCTAAGAACTTTGAAGATGTTATTCCATTAACTTTTGGCCTCGGTTATTGCTAATACAAAGTTGGCTGAAATATGCTAGTTGTTTTTTTCTGTTTTATCCTCTCTGGTTGCTGCTTTGCTGTCATGCCATTTCTCAGTGATGTATCTAGGTGAATTTTTTAAATGTCTTTTTCCCCTAAGTCCTGGGCAGAAGACAAGTCTCCCTGATGATTTTTTGACACTTCCTGAGTTAGGTGAGTTGGTAAGAACTAGTACCAGCATACCACTTGCTAGACGGCAGCATTCCAGCTTTATATGGTGTTTTAGTACATTTGGGATGCTATAACAAAATCCCACAGACTGGGGTAGTAGGTGGCTTGTAAATAACAGAAACTTATTTCTCATAGATCTGGAGGCTAGGAAGCCCAAGATCAAGGGGAAGGCAGTTTTGGTGCCTGGTGAGGGACCGTTTTCCGGTTAATAGATTGTACCTTCTAGCTGTGCCTTCAGGTGGTAGAAGGGGTGGGAGAACTCCCTTGGGCCTATCTTATAAGGGTACTAATCCCATTCATGTGGTCTCTGACTAACCTCCCAAAAGGTTCCACCTCCTATTACCATCACATTGGGGGCTAGGATTTCAACATGTGAATTTTGGGAGGGCACAAATATTCAGACAATAGCACATGAGCGTTCAATTTCAACTCCCTGCCTCATTCAGGTCCAGCCACATCTCCTATCATTAAAATTCCATGTTTATACATTTCTGACTTATTTCCAGTTTCAGTAATCTCCTGGACTAATATCTGCTTACTGTGTACTTGCTTCTCTTTGAGGTCTCTATTTCTGGCATTGCAGATTTCTTCTGATTTTGTACTCAGTTGTATATTAACATTGTTTCCTATATTTTCCCTACATTGCAGATTTCTTCTGATTTTGTACTCAGTTGTATATTAACATTGTTTCCTATATTTTCCTATATTTTCCTGTATTTATACATAACACATACATACACACACAAACATTTGAGGAGTGGTGTTGCATAACGCAGAAAATCAAATCTAGTAGATCTGAAGAAGGACCCTGATACACGAATTCTGAAAAATGCTCACCAAATGAATCAGTGTTATGAACTAAAGTCTGTCTTCCCAAAATTTATATGTTGAAACCCTAATCCCCCATGTGATGTATTTGGAAACAGGGCCATTAGGGAGATAATTAAGGTTAAATGAGGTTATTAGTGTGGGTCCCTTATCCAATCGAGCTGGTGTCCTTATAAGAACAGGAAAAGAGAAATCTCTCTCTCCATGCATTCACACCAAGGAAAGGCCATGTGAGGACACAGCAAGAAGGTGGCCATCTGCAACCCAGGAAAAGAGGCCTCACCAGAAATGAAAACTGATGCCACTATGTTGAACTTCCAGCCTCAAGAAATGTGAGGAAATAAATGTCTGTTAGTTTAGCCACCTAGTCTGTGGTATGTTATGGCAGCCTGAGCAGATTGACACAGCCTGATTATCAGTGTCCAAGTCCATCGCTCCTGAGCACAGTACCAGAATCTCTCAGACTCTTTACAACTATAACTGTAATGGGAAACCCCAACTGGGAAATACCAAAGAATATTGTGCAAAACTATATTATTATAAAATCATACTCTAAACTTATCTGGGCCTTGGATAATATTTTCTTTATCTTTTGCCCATTCTTAGTTTCTTTAGTCTGCCTATTTCAGTCCTTAGCCTTACTCAATTCTGGCTGATGACATTAAAAAGAACCTACTGTATAAGTTAGAATATCAAAATTGACATTTTTGTGCCTATGTCATCCTCCCTTTAAACTTCAATTTTTACTCTTTCTTTACATTCCTTTTTTTTTTTTTTTTTTTTTTTTTTTTTTTTTTTTTGTCTTTTTCTTCTACTACAGAGAAAGAGATATTCCATTTTTTTCCCACAGTGAATTCCCTCTATATGTTCTGGATCCCACTCTCCTCTTACTTCTTCACCCACTCCCCAGCACTTTTCAGCTTTCATCCCTTGTCTCCTTTTCCTCTGCCATCAAAAATACATAGGTCAATAAATTGGTTTTCAGTGACTCGCTTTTGATAATTGTAAACTGGCTTTTTCCCATCATCTCTACATGGAAGAAAAAAAATTGACCTTGAAAGAAGTTTCCTCGAATCATCTATGGATGAGAAGGGAGCTATGGATATAAATCTAGAATTCATCATCAAAGAGGTGATAGTTCATTTGTTTGTTCCTTCACTTGAGTCAAAATTTTATTTTAAGCACCTGTTATGTGTCAAATTCTGTTAGGCCTGGCATATAATAAGTGCTTAATAAAAATTTCTTTGTATAAATGAATAAATAAACTATCACTTTGATACTAACACCTCTTAAATAGACATCTTTGTTTTCCTACCTTAGTAATCTGAGAGGACATTTGTTAGGATCAACAAATGCATAATGAATAAATAAATGAGTAAAATTATCTTTGTCCTCAAGGTGCTGAAGTCATGAACATGGGGGAACTTTATGGAATTTAGAGAAATGCTCAAGTACATGAACTTACTATTGGAAATAGCCAGGGGAAGAAAAAAAACTGGTGAAGAACACAATGGACAGATGAGGGAATATAACAGATGAGGGAATAGTGTAGTGGGTTAGAATTACCTTAAGGTAATTTGTCAGTCAAAAATGCTGATCTGCCAGCTGCACTCCAAACAGATTCAATCAGAAGCTCTGGGAGTGTAGCCCATGAATCTACATTGATAAGCTCACGAAGGTGACTCTTCTGCATACCTTCAAACAAGTAGTTTCAAAGAAAAGGTAGGCAACAATGAAAAATTATATAAAAATATAAGCAGTAAAAAATCTGAGAAGTGTAGGATTCTCTCTCCACACGTGTAAGAAAATCTGATTTTCTTATTGATAGCATATGTACCAGGGTTGGTGGAGCAGAAAGCTGAGGGCCTGGATCCTTAATGGCTGTGATTCAGCTAATCAACCATACCATCACTTACACTGAACTTCTGATGTGAGAATAATAAGCTCCTATTCATTAAAGCCACTATCAGTCTAGTTTTTGGTTACTTGCAACCAAAAGAATGTCTAACTGATTCAGTAAATTAAAGATTTTACTTGTTGGGAGAAAGATTAGACTATATCAGTCAAATGATGTGATGATTAGTGATTAAACTTGGTGTGCTTTAACAGGATCACAAAGAGCGTCTGTCTCACAGGAAACAAACAATTCTGTTTTAAAATAATCTATTTGACCAGCAGGTAAAAATGTATACTATTCTTTGCAGTACATTTACTTGGTAAGAATGAATGTTTATAAATAATAATGATAACACTTATTGAGCACTTACTACACATCAAGTACTATGTTACGAACTTTATATAAATATCTCACCCAAACCTCATAACAACCCTATGATACATCATAACTCATCTTTAGTAATGGGAAAATTAATGAGTTCCACTTACAGAGGTGAAGGATATAAAAGGTAGTAAATATGTGTTTCTTGGATAATGGAAGGACAGGAAAATGAATGTGGTAAACTTGTTAGTTCCAAAATACTTTTCATGGCATTTCTACTGCACATCTACTTTTGTATTAACTTAAATCCTATATAGCTTTTGTAGTGAAGTCAAGTCCAAAACTTTCTTAGGAAACCTTCCTCAACAACATTTAGATATGAGCTTTCTCTTTTTTGATTCTCAAATTTAGATTTAGGACCATCTACTGCACATCTACTTTTGTATTAACTTAAATCCTATATAGCTTTTGTAGTGAAGTCAAGCCCAAAACTTTCTTAGGAAACCTTCCTCAACAACATTTAGATATGAGCTTTCTCTTTTTTGATTCTCAAATTTAGATTTAGGACCTTATTACATGACCTAGATTATATAACATTTAGTATAGAAAAAAATGCCTCATACTTAGAATCTGAGTACAGGATTTTTAGGCAGTAAATAATTCCTGTCAAATGTGACATCTAACCATTTTGCATTTTTCACGTGTAAAAATTTTCTATTATGTGACTTAAAAATTCTTATTTTAGGCTTTACGTGTAATTATACTCCATTTAATTCAGCAAATGTAATTAATTTGTGGCTAATAGATAACAGTTCTCTGTGGTCTTCAACTAATATTTCTCTTGACATCTCCCTCTGGTGATCCAGGTTAACAGAAATTTGAGAACACATACAGCTTTTTTTTTTATGAAACATTTAGTTTCCCATCTTCCCTGCCTCCCCACACCTGTCAGTCCTCTTTAGCATTCTGCAGTGATCAGGACTGACACATTCACATGTGTATAACTGTGTATTGGGGAAAAGGATATGGTTTTTAAAATATGCTACTATTGGTATGTCTTTATTTTATCCTCTTGCTAGACTCATGTGACAGAATTCTCGAGGGAATAAAGATCCTAATGTTTCCTTTTACACTTAATTACATTGAGGATTTTAGAAAACTTTCTCCATGAATTATACATCTTGAATTATCAACTTATAAGCAAAGATGTCGATAGTTTAAATTTACTCCATTAAAAGGAATGGACTTCAAAAATTTGCCAAATATATTATTTTGATTATGCAGTTTCTCTTCAAATAATGTTAACATCCCAAATAGTAACTTGTCATAGGGTTTACATACCTTTACAAATTTTGCGTTCTAACTAAAAAGGGTATTAAAAGAACTTTGTAAGATTAAGTATTTCAACAGTAAATTGTATTACTGTATTGTTCCTTATTATGTACTGGTGTATCTCTAGATCAATTAATTCCATGGTATAAGTTAGGTCTAAGATTAAGAAGATACATTGGCATTTTTGGATTCAGGTAGTTTAATTTTTTATTTTTATTTTTTTAGGAAATTAAGCATTCCAATACTTACATTGAGAAATATGCTATTAGGGAGGTTTCAGTACCACAACCGTGGGAGAAAAAAACTGAATTCCTTAATGTAGTGTGCAGTTATTTCTACATTGCTTTCAGTCTTTATCTGAAAAATGAAAATATAAAAACCAAACTATTCAGTAGAATTATCTTAACTATGACAGTAAAAGTTTATCATTGCATGTGACTCACATTTCATTAAAATGAATACAAATATGTTCTGGGATACAGATATATAAACACAAGTTTTCATTTATGAATATATATATGATTGAAATCATATTCTAAAATGAAGATGCTCAGTAATTTTCCATGACCATAATAACACTTTAAGAGCATATATTTTGCAATTTGGAACTGCAACAAACCCACAAAGTGAACAGATTCTAGTATAATCTATTATCCATTTTGCTAGTGTACTATAGCAATGATTCATATATTACTTTAATGTCAAATTCTTGATTAAAGTAGAATGCATAATTTAATTTTCTATTGTGACTTCCTTGGAGGAAAAGTTGGAAAAAAGCCAATGATTCTTAAATGTCTCTGAGCCGTTTTTAAAGAGAGAAATACTGGAATTTACCTAAGTGAAATTTAATTTGTTCTTCTGTTAAGATTCGAAATAGTGTCAGGAAGGGCTATTTATTGTACCACATAACCAATTTTCTGACACCGATTAAAGAGCTCCTATTCTGTCCAGTGTTAATTCTGCAAGTCAGTGGCGCACAGCTCAGAAGGTTGGTAATGTCCAACCTGGTGAGATACACAAACTGATAAGAAATTATTTTCAACAGGGTTAACTAAGATTTTTTTCACTTTTAAACTTCTCTTACGTATTTTGTTTCCAAGCCTTTAAAAATGTTTTAAGTAAATACTATCAGATAGTGAACATACACAATACAGTATTTCCCATTGCCTGTATGCTTTTGAGAAGACTATACAAATATTAATTCTTCCAGTTCTAGAGTTTAGAGAAAGAAGACTCCAGACCTTATCTTTTTGTTCTGATGAAGTGATATGTAAAATAACACTGACAAGGTCTAAGCGAGCAGCAATGGCTAGTCCAAACAGAGGCGATTAGACGGACAGGGAGCACGGTACCTTAGTTTAATATACACATTTAAAAATATGTGTGTATATGTGTATAAGAAGGAAAACCCGTCTTATTTTTAAAGTAGATGTCACGACGGGTGGTTTTCTTTTTTCAACCTGGAAATCTCTTGAAGGTCGGGGCAGAGCCGGTTACCTTTTAGCATTGAAATACCGCACTTTATCCAGTGGTTTTTTTGTTTGTTTGTTTGTTTTTCTCTCTCTCTCTTTCCATTTCCTCTTCCCCTCAGGAAAGAAGGGTGTAGGGCTGAGACGCTACGCGTGAACTAAAAGAGCCACTAGCTAGGCATAGGTAGAAAAAGCAAACCCACAACGAAAACACGGGGATTTTAAGTGCGCATCCTGCGAGGCCGGTTTGCAGCAGCAGCAGAACGCCTGCGTTAACCCTCTGGGCGCCGCTGCAGGGATCCCCGGCGTCTGCGGCCCCGGCCGGCAGGAACAGAGATGGGACGTTCCGCGCCCGCAGGGGGAGTGGGCTCTCTTCCCCACGGAGGGAGCGAGCCAGGTGACACTTTTGTCTTCCGGCGCGTGCGTCACGACCCGGGACAGGCATCAAGTCCGGTACGGAGTCGGGGCAGAGACGTGGCGAGGCGCCGCTCGAATGTCCACCGTTCGAGGGTTCGCCTTAATCTGTCCTCGCCAGGAGCGCTAACTCTCGCCCGCCAGCCCTCCCGCCGGCTTAGTTCCTGGGACCTGGAGGGGCGCAGGCCCGGGGG